TTTGGACGATAACGATGTGTCGATGTAGGTTGATCAATAGTAACAAATGTGCCCCTCTCAGGGAGGATGTTGATAATGGGGGATGCTATGCATGTGCAGGGGTGGGGGGCACACGGGAACTCTGTACCTCTAAACACTTTTACTACTAACACTGCTATTAAAAATAAAGTATATTTAAAGGGATATATAATATTAAATTAAATGCTCAAAAATATGTCTACAATTCCTTAATCCCTCTGCCAACCTATGGTTCGGGGGTTTGTCTTCTCTCACCTGGAGCAGCCCCATAACTGGCTGGGTCTTGCCTGAGCGATCTCTTTCAAACAGACAACCCTGACCCTTTCCCACCCCATACCCCCCAGCGGGCCTCTGAAGCCTCAGCATCCAGTTCAACCTCCACAGCATGGCCTGTAGAGGACCTGCCACTGCCACTTCCAGCCGCCTGCTCTAGAGTCCAGCCACAGGGAACTTCTGCTTCTTCCTCTGTGTGTCTGCTTTCCCGGGTCCAGGGCCTCTTCCCCCTCCCGTACCCTCTCCTGGCTATCCTTGTCCCATACTTCAGGTCTCAGCGTGAACACCTCTTCCTTCGGGACAGCTTTGACCCCTCTTGCTGGTTAGGTGCCCTGTGCTCCGCTTTCAGAGCACCCCTGTCACCAGGTGCCCGGTTATCCACCTCTGTGCCTCATTAGACTGAGAGGAGGGGTGGCATCTGCTGTGTTTATTTTTGTATCTCCAGCACTGGCTCAAGCTTACAGGTAGTAAACCCTTAGTAAATATTAGCTGAATGAATGGATAAGGTTTCTTGGCTCCCGGACTTAGAGCTCTCAGCTTCCTAGTCTGTTCTATGCATGGGGTGGTCAGCTCTGGTCTCCAAAGGGTGACCCCAGGTGGGTGGTGAGAGCAGAGGGCTTGGGCGCGTTGTGTCCCGGACGGAGGAATGCGCTCGCAGGGCACCCTACAAGAGCTTGAGCAGGAGCAGTTTAGGGTTGAGACAAGTTCAGGCTCCCCACCCCCGCCCATGGGCAGAGTGAGAAAGCATCCCCACCTGCGTGCCGAGAACCACTCAGGGCTTTTGAAAATGTCCTGATCTGGTTTGACCCAACTAAGCTGACCCACTTCCCGTGCCCCTCTTTCCGTCCTTTCCTGGTAGTTGCAGGAAGGTTCTCAGGACACGTGTCTCATAAGAACTTTCTGGCAAGTTCATACTTTTGGTCTTTTCTGAGATCAGAGGCAGCCTGGATTTGAAATGTACTTTCAGAGCTCTTGGAAGGCTCTAATCTCTGGGCATTTCTGAGTAACCCCGAAGGGCCCTCCACGTTTGGGCGGGTTCCAGCTCAGGTCGTTCTTCCCTGTCTGACCTTGCACCGAGGCAGACTGGGCCTTCAGAGAAGATGGAATTCTGGGTGAACTGTTTGCTGGCAGCAGGGGGGTTGTGGCCCCCACCCGACCTGACCCAGACCTCCCTTCAGGGAAGGTCAGTATCAGCAGCCAGCTGCATTTCCCTCTCAGGGAAAGCTAAAGAGACAGAGCTAGTAAAAATCTATTTCATGAACAGCCTGACCTACCAGCATTGATCACGTTAGACATGATGCCCACAGTCCCAATTATGCACAGAGGGGCAAGGCTCAGAGGAGCTCAAAAAGCCATATAATTCCATCCAGGGGCGACTGCTTCCCCAGGGGCCTGAAACATCCCTCAAACTAATAACCCCTGGCAAAGCACAGCCAGGGAAAATTCCTTGCGGATTTGAGAATTTCACTCTGTTAATCTCCTAACGCAATAAAGTAAACACTCCTGCAGCAAATTAAATACTTTTCTCAAAGGGTTCCCTCCCCCGTTCTCTTTGATGTGGGTATAGACCTGTAACCCTCCCAGGGCCTGAGTGTCTCCATGAGGGGTCGGCCCCACTCCCTACCATTTTCTCCTGTTATTCCAAGGAGGCCCAGAGCCCACCAGAATTTGCTAATTTTTGGATTCTGGAAACTTCTGAGAGCTCTGATTTCCCTGAGGAGATTCTACAACCCATCAGCTGAGGGAAATGCTTCCCAGTCTTTTGTGAGGGATAACAGGTCTCCAACAGGCCTGGCCCCAAGCACCTCTACTATCCAGTTTGCCTGAAGGGATCCTCAGCACAACTGTCCAGGCCAAGGCGGACTTGCTGGCCAGCAGTCCACCCTTCCTCTGACCTCTCTAGAAGCTTGTTGGCCATACCTCCAAAAGATTGCCGGAAACCGGATGAGGTTAGCTGGGGAGAAGATTAAAGGAGGCTGGGGTAGAGAAAGGGGGCTCGCGGTAAGGAAGCCCTGAGCGCCTCTCCCCGCACTGCTGCCTGCCCCCAGCCTGTCCTTCAAGCTGCTCCTCTCAGATCTGTCTGGATTCAGCAATTTTAACTTACAGTCGCCACTTTCCTCTCAATATTGGTTTGAGGTTATAGTGGCGTCCTGCCCAGGTCACCTCGGATGCTGTCCTCAGAAAGCCTGCCTTGTGGGAAAACCCACCGGCTTGCTGATGGCAACGGTCAGGCACCTTTATATTTCAGGAGGAGCTTCCTTTCAGAAACATCATCATCTACAGTTTGTCCATTTCATTGTGGGGTTTGCAGTGTGAACGCTGTGGATTCTAGAAAGTAGGTATTTTATCTATGGGGATGGAAAACCAGGTCTCAGAGAGACCAGAAAGTGGGTATTTTATCTATGGGGACAGATAATCTGGTCTCAGGGAGACTAGAAAGTGGATATTTTATCTATGAGGGCAGACAACCAGATCTCGGAGAGACACTAGAAAGGGGCTGTTTTATCTATGGGGACAGATGACCAGGTCCCCGAGAGCCCTGAGGCCTTCCCAGCAAGGGCTCTGGGTGCATGTGACAGGCTGTCCTGGCAGGTCTGGAATTGTCGCCAGGGGTTCCGGATGCAGACCTTGCCACAGTGAGAAGGCTCCCTCTCCCTACGGGGCCACAGAGAAGGCCATTCTCAACTTTCCTTTTATTTGTCCCCTTGGACAAGAAAGGCACTTGCTCAGGGAGGCACTAGCCCCTCACAGCCATTAAGCCACAATAGCGCAGACTGGGCCCTAGTCATCTGAAATGTCCTCCCTTCTCTTGTCAAGCCGGGACAGATGCCCCAGACTCTGTGGCTGTCCCTGTTTATCGCCCACTCCCATGGCGTTGCCTCCAGATTTATGTCCTGCCGTGGAAATCAAAACAGAGTCTCTGGAAGCTGGAGGAAGGAGAGAGAGGCAGCTGACCACGTGAGGAAAAGCATGACCAAGTGCCTACGTCCTCACGCTGGGGAGTCAGACAGGCCTGGGCTAGAATCTGGACTCAGCTACCTGCACCCTCTGACCCTTGAGAGCTATTTACCACTCTGAACCTCAGTATCTTCATCTGTAAAATAGTAGTTCCCTCCTTCTCAGTGTCATTGTGCAGCCTGAATTAGACGAGCCTGTGAGTTGTTTAGCACATAGTCAGGGCTCACTGAATGGGCTGATGAGAAGAGATTCAGTGGCTTCCGGATTGGGACTGGGCCCAGCCGTGAGCCTGGGAGGTCATTCCTTCCCAGAGGCCTGCAAGGATTTGCTAGTCCTCCTAATGGCCTTTCTTCCTGGAGAGGACGAAGCTTGGGGATGTCACAGCCTGCTCCTCTTGGCTCTGCAGAGCAGCTACCCAGGGGAATGCGGTTGTTGGGGTGGGAAGGACCCAGGTCATGGCAGGGGGCAGCTGCCAGGCTGGGCATCACGGTGGCCCCCAGGCAGAGCCAGTGCTGGGCACAGGGGGCCCATGCATCCTCAGCCGGGGCAATATCAGCCCCAACAGGGCAAAAACTGGTTCTTAGAGGAGCAAAAAAGTTTTAGATATTACAATGGTTTGTGGCCATCCAAAGCTCAACCCTACCTGACAACACCTGATTTCTTAATAGTATTTATTTCTATTTTATATTATTTTTTATTGAATTTATTGGGGTAACATTGGTTAATAAAATTATATAGGTTTCAGGGGTACAATTCTATAATATGTCTTTTTTTTTTTAAATTCTCACCCAAGGGTATGTGTATTGATTTTAGAGAAAGGAAGGGAGAGAGAAAAACATCGATGTGAGAGTCATCTCAGTAGGATTTAATTTCTCTCATTAGAAATAAAGTAAATTCTAATTTAATAAAGTTAGCTTGAATTAAAATTTCCTTGGGGTGGGGGATGCTAATCAAAAACGGATGAGCGGCATTGGTGTGGTCTATCTCCCTGTGGTGTGGACTCACTCGGCTTTCTGCCCAGGGTCCCCCCTCCTCTCACCAGCCCCTCCTGCTACCCCCTACCACATCCTTCTTCCCCTTGGGCTCTCGGCAGCATCCGGCGCTGCTCGCCAGGCCAGTTCAGAGTTCACTCTCTTCTGGGCGATGGCCCACCCTACTCCTTGCCCCGAGCCTCCTTAGGCTCCCGTGGCTGCACCGCCCCGTTCCTCCCTCCAGCCTTCTGGCTCTTCCCTTCCTTCCACTGTCCCACAGACACAGCTCTCCGCTCCCCACCCCTGCTTCCCCAGCTCCACGCTGCTTGTCCGTCCGCACTCCCGCGGCCCCGCTGCGGCACGCCGTCCGCACTCCCTCCGGCACACACTCTCTCCCTCCCTGTCCACCTCAGCCGGCTTCGTGCTTCCCTTTCTCCTGTGGTATTTAGTTTGGACCATTTGACACAAAAGAATATATGCCCTTGTGTTATTCTCTCATGGTCTCATGGGTATCTGGTCTATCTTCTGACTCAGGTTTTAATTTCTTAAAGGATAAAGAGAAAGTTGTAAGTTTCTGTTTGCTCCTTACTGTCCAACCCAGTTCTGGATACCAAAGAAGGCAGAAGGAAAGGTTTTTAGGGACCAGGAAGCACCCTGCGGAACTCTAGTTGCAAGGTGCCCCTGGTTGGTGGTCTTCCCCGCGGGAGGGCCAGCTCAGTCTGGGCCCTGGGCGGAGCGCAACGGAGCCCCGTCTGCCTCCCACCTGGGGCTCCGCCTCACCTGGCTGACTCCTTCCACTCCATCTGGTCACCGTCGTGCTGCAGAGTGTCCATCTCTGTGAAGAGGGTGGGGTTGGGAGCCTCATCTTCCTCCCCCAGGATGTCCTGGAGCTGCTCAGCAGCTGGAGACCCTGCAAAGAGAGGACAGCAGAGTCCGCTGAGTGCCTTGTGGGAGACAGCCGGCTGCGGGGTCAACTGCAATGGAGCAGGAGCCAAGAGCAAGGGAAAAGTATTTCCTGATTGAATAAAACTAAGTCCAGCTTCTGGGTGAAGCTGGATTCAAGTCTCTGTGCGTTGGATGTGGATGAGATATTCTTTGGGATAACAGAGATGAAAGGATTTACTCTGCATTCAAAATCCAGGGTCATGCAGCTGACAATGAAGAGGGGTAGAAAATGGTCAACGCCAGGTCAGCAGCAAGGACTGGGAACAGAAAAGTGAAGTGAGAAAAATTCTGGCCCAACTTCAGCATAAAAAACCCAGAGGGCCCCCTTTCGCAGTGGGCCCCAAACCAGTCAGCTCCCAGCACTGGCCTTGAAGGGGCAGTCAGCCACGTGAAGGGACAGGCTTGCGCCAGGGAGCCACGTGGGCTGACTTTCTACAGGGGTAAGAAGACAGCCTGTTCCTGAGCTCCTGGCCTGCTTTCTAACTGCCCACTGGATGTCACCTCCCAGATGTGTCTCTGGCACCTCAAAAGTTAGCATCCAGACACTGAACATGTGCCCTTCCCCAGACATACTTTTCCTCTCTTCCTTATTCCTTCTCTTCTTTCCTTTCATCTTGCCTTCCTCCCTCCCTTCCTTCCTTTCTCTTAATATTTAATAAATGCCTACTATGTTCCAGGAGTCATTGTACGTGTTGAAAAACAAAACTGTGAAGAAGGCCTATATGTCCTTGCTTTCTTAAACTTCTGTTCTAGTGGAAGAGACAAGCAATAAACAAATAAATCCATAAATGATTATTTCAGGTAGTGATAAGTGTTCTGAAAAAAATAAATAAAATGATTGGGGAGCTACATTAGAGAGCATGGTCAAGAAAGGCCTCTCTGAGGAGGCTGTGTTTGAGTTGTGATGGGAAGGATGGGCGAAGCTACTGCGTGTATCTGGAAGAAGAATGCTCCAGCGTTTCAAAGACCTGGAGGTGGGAATGTGCTGTCACTGTGTCTAGGGCATGGTGTGCAAGAGAGTGTGACCTCACGTTGAATGTCTTGGTTAAAGGCACAACTGTCCACCCAACTGCACAGGCCAGGCACCCAGGAGTCACCTGCACCCCACCTCTTCCTCTCACCTCCACTCCCACATTGCCAGTTTTCAAGAATATATTCCCTCCTCACCAATCCCGCCGTCGCTGCCCTGGTTCAGTCTCTCACTGACACTCCCCTGGGCTCCCCCAAGGCTTCCCTTCCTCTGAACCTCCTCCATCCCCTCAGTTCATCCTCCCCTTTGGCCTGCACTTAATCTCTTCATGGACTTCCAATGGTCAATAATTTCAGCTATGCTTTCATTATGCCTTCCACCCTTACTCCTTAAATTCCCAGTAAGACCAGCCAGCCAATTCCCAGCCCAGAATTCACTAGCCCAGGCTTCCTCTCTGCGGCTGTGCCCTGGGGGTGCAGGGAGAGGCAGCAGGGTGCAGTGGGACAGTGGAGTCAGGATGCCTTCAATCCAACTAGACACAGGTATGAATCTCAGAGTTGCCCCTTCTTCAAGAGTGAAGTCTGAGTGAACCAAGGTGTTGAGAGGAATAAATCAGATAGGGAGCGTGAGACACGTGACAAGGGGCCTGGAATGTAACAGGTGCTAATCCCCTTCACCACCAACTCCGCACCCAGCCTTGCAAGCCCAGCTGAAGAAAACCACCCAACTATGTAAACGGGGGGCTCCCTCTCTAGCAGGTTTCTACTCATCCTTGTCAGCACCCTTTCCAGTATCCCTCAGTGCCATCCCTAACCTTTGCTCCTCATTTCAAACCTCTTGAACCATCTCTTACCCCACTTCACCAAGAAAACACAGGCCTCCAGGCATGAAATCCATCCACTTCTTCCCCTCTGGTCCTTCTATGCACTGCCACTGTTGCGCTCCACCTTTGAACAAAGGACTCCTACCTCCACCTTGATCTCTGGCCCCATCCATTCCATTCTGCTGGATCCTTATTTCATCAACTAGCTTTTCCTTACCTAGGTCTTCAACTTCCCTCTCTCCTCCTCTTTCTCTAGCCTATAAAAGAGCTCTTATACCTTAGGATGTCCTCCCCCGATCCTGCCTGCCTTCCAAACTCTCTTCATCTCCTTTTCCCCCCAAGTTCTTAAAGGCGTTGTCTGCATCTGTTGCCTGCACTTCCTCCCTACTCAGTCGCTTTCCGAGCTGCTGCAACTGGTCCAGCCCGGCCACACTAAAGACATCGACTAAAGCGGAAATTTCAAAATGGCAGCCCAAAGACCTGTATAATTCAGCCTCATAGAGTATAAAAGTTTTTGACATTGTGGCTAACATAAAAAGAAAAACAACACTGAGATCTCATTTAAAATCCATATTTCTGACTTTTCCTGAAAATGCAGATGCTCTGATAACCGTGCCAGCATTCCTGTTTGGCAATTATCAATTAGAGCTGAGTAATGGCTGCCTTCCTTAGCTGGGTATATGTATTTTAGTTTGCCACAGTTCCCACTACTCCCTACCACCCTCCTAATCTCATTTATGTTAGGCACCAGAGTTTACAACACCATCCTCAGACCTCTCTTGTTATCTCATCCTTGAAACAGAATGTTCATAAAATCAATCAAACTACCAGCGCTGCAAAGCTAGGGACTGGCTCTTCTCTCTGGGACATCAGTGCTCCCTCTGAACTGAAATGCTGCTCTTGGCTCTCACAACATAGCACTTTCTTGGTATTTTCCCCTATTGCTTTGAGGCCTCCTTCTCAATATCCTTCCCCAGTCCTTCTTGCCATCTCACTTAAATCTTGGTTTTACCCCAGGCCACTCCTGTCTCCAGGCCCCGCCTGTACCGAGCATCTCTGACTGCCAGCTGGGAGCTCTCCATCTGGGAGTCCTGCAGCCTACGTAAGTCAACCTCAACATATTCAAAACAGCTCTTCGTCCCTCCTTCCCGCACCCCGATGCTGCCCTCCTCTGTTTCGATTACTAGCACCCCTAACGACCCAGCCATCCAGGCAAGACATGTTGGACTTACTATAGAAGCCTCCTTCTCCTTCGCCATCCAGGTCCAAGCAAACACTGACTTCCTTCATTTTCTTCCTTAAACATTTCTTCTCTCTCTCTCTTTCCCCGACCCATCGCCACATTCTTGGTTCTCAGGATCTCTTGTTCCTCTCACTGCAATAGGCACCCACTGTTCCCACAGTTTCTGGTTGCCCCACCCATCCCCATTCCCTATGTAAGAGCAGAGGTGCCTTTTATAACATGTCAAACATGTTTGCGTGGCAGACGGCTGGGAATCCCCATAAAATATTGTGCACGTAAGTTAGAAATAAGTTTACTAGCAGAGAGTATTATTAATTTATCTGTACATAGCTCAATGGATCTCATTTATTTAAACAGATTTTATTTGTTAATTTTTTATTACTTTAAACTTACATCTTTTTCATCTGCTTACTAATAGCTGACACTTGCTAGGATACACCAGAAGTTTAAAGAAATTTTATAGCAGAAAAACTAACACTTGAACAAATAACATTACTTTTTCTTTATATTGGGAGCAGACTAACTGCTTGATTCTGAGAGGGCTCACTAATTCTCCATGTGATCAGAGTTCAAGAACTATTGTTCTAAAATGTAGATTTAATCATATTACTCTCCAGGTGATGGACCTTCAATGGCTCTTGATTACCTAGAGCCTAGGGTCTATGACATGGCTCAAGACGTCCCTTGTGACTTGGACCTAACTTGCCTTTCTAGGTTCTGTCATGTCCCTCAGCCAAATGCCCTGGACCCCAGCCACCACGGACCCCAGCAGCATGTACCCCAGCTACCCTCAACTCTAGCCACCCCTGACTCCAGCCATTCTTGACCCCAGATACCCCCGACCCCAGTCACACTTGAACCCAGATATCCTAGGCCCCACATGCCCTGGACCCCAGCCACATCAGACCACACACAGTTCTCTGAAAAGGAAGTCACATCACTCCTTGGACCTTTGTGCCTACCATTCCCTGAGACTGAGTCCCCTTCCCCCTCCAGGGCCAGATAAGAAGGCAAGTAAATGGAGAGATGAGGCAGGGCAGAGAGCAGGATCCCTGAGCGAGTCCGGTCTGGGGCATTACCTGCTCCCTGGAACAGCTGAGGGCTGGGGTCTCCAGCTGTCGGCACTGCCTCTGGCCCCAGCCTGTTTCTGCTGCTGCCACCCCAGCCACCGGCCACCGCTTCCACACTGTCCGCTTCCTGGCCGGGCACAACAAACTCACTTTTGTTTCCAGTTAAGCACCAGGGGAGGCGTGGGGCAAGGAGAAGGAGAGGTGGGTGGGGTGGAGGTGGTGGGGGGAGAGAAAGAGAAAAGAGATAGAGAAGGAAACCTAGAATGACTGGGAAGGTAGAGAGTGAGGACTATATGTGAGAGAGAAAAGAAATGTAGTAAATGTAAGAGAGAAAAGCTGCACTGAAGTAAAGATACTGTGAGTATGAGAGAGTGTTTGAGGGGGGCGGTGAGAGAGAGAGAGAGATTCTCAGGTGCACTGGCAGAAGAGGGCTCTGCGGCTGCAGCGGAACCTCAAACAGGCAGCCAGGTCCCCGCAGCTGCAGGCCATTGAGGGGACTGGCAGAACTGCCCGCCCCCGCCCCCGTGGGCCCTTCCCATCGTGCCCTCAAGCTCCGGGAATGCTCAGGCACCTCTCTTCAGGCCTCTTTATAAAGGCAGAGGTAGGATTTGCCTTGAGACTCCCCGGGGCCTCCTTAAGAGCCTTGGCCCGCAGGTGAGCTGGCTGGGGTGGCCTGGCAGGGCAGGCCCCTCGGCCACAGGCCACACAGCCTGGTGTGACGGTGGGGCTGTTGGGGAGAAGGTGGCTGTGGGGCCTCACGTTTCACAGCAACCACACCAGCAGCTGGTTTCTCTCTTCCCCAACTTTGAACCCAAACTCCGGATTCTCTCCCTCTTCATCTACTTCTAAGACAGAGTCCCAAATGTCGTCACCCAGGAGGTGTTTTCTGAGAGTCTGTGGGCAGTGGGAACTGGCCACTTCAGGGTATGCGGTGAACCCCACCAAGGAATTATTTTCTCTGCTGAGAAACTCCTAATCTCCTGGGTTCGGTTCAACAAGTGCTTACTGAGTACTTAGAATGTGCCAAGGTTGATTAGAGGTCACTGAGCGGCTGCTGCTCCAAGGAGCTCTGAACCCTGAATTCTCTATGGCTTACCGCTGGGAGGGGGCTCAGCAGTCGTCCAGTCAGACCCTTCACTTCACGGATGAGAAAACTGAGACCCAGTTTACAGCACAGAGGCCCCAGCAGGCCCCGGTGAGGGGAGCAAACACCACCATCAAGGAGTTCCTGGCTTGGTGGGCTCCTCAGCAGGCAGAACAAGGAGGGGGATGGGTCCCTCCGAGGGCCGCAGGCTCTACAGCTCCCACCGCACAGCGCGTCCTGTGCACCACTGGGCAGCCACTACACACCACACCGAGTCAGGCAGGGGCTGTGTGCGACCTTGACCCCCAGAGAAATACCAGAGAGGCCACCAAGAGTGCCAGAGAATCCTCTTTGTGTGGTATTGTCACAGCCCTGACTGGGTCCAACTCTTGACTCTGCCAATTACTAGCATTAGGGTGTTGGCAAGGCGCTAAGCTCTCTGAGACTCGGTTTTCCCATCTATAAAGTGGGAACTTTCACACTTACCTCACTGGATTGTGGTGGCCATTGAGATAATATATGTGATGTGGTTGGCATAGTGCTTGTCATCCACCTGTCACCCACTAAATTATATCGCTATTTTTGTTGTTGCCAACAAGTGATACCTTTCTTCCTTATGACCGTCACCTGCCTGGCCCTTCTAACACTCCAAGGGCTCAATCCTTTTCAGCTTCTAAATGTCCATGCTGCTCCCAAGCTGCTCCTCTGCCCTGCCACGCTGAGGCTGCTCTCCTCTCCCTGCTCCGCCCGGCTGCCCAGGGAAGGGTTAGCACACCACATGCTGGGCTCCTGGATCAGGTGGCTGTAGTGCACCGCAGGTCCCACATGCATGCATCATGCTAGAAGTTAATCCATGGGATGAGCCCTGGCTGGTGTGGCTCAGTGGATTGAGTGCTGGCCTGCGAACCGAAAGGTCACTGGTTTGATTCCCAGTCAGTGCACATGCCTGGGTTGTGGGCCAGTCCCCAGTAGGGGGCATGTGAGAGGCAACCACACATTGATGTTTCTCTCCCTCTCTTTCTCCCTCCCTTCCCCTCAGTCTAAAAATAAATAAATATAATCTTAAAAAAAAAAAAAAGTTAATCCACGGAATGAGACATGCCACAGGTAATAGCCCCTCTGGTCTGTATCTCACAGTGAGTCATATAGCAACACCCAACTGCAGGAATAAACTCAATCAGCTGTTAGTTGCTGGAAGAAAAACAACCTCGGTGGGAACAAGCTTCAGGAAGCACACTAAAAGAAGCAACCAGAAGCAGGCTTTTACTAGGTGGGAGCTGTCCGGTCATCGGATGAGCAAAGGACAAAATGACCTATAGATTGTGAATAGGCAAGCCTTCAGCCCCCAATGGAGACCCATGAGGACCCTGTCCAGGTGGTTCAGCTCGTTGGAGCAAATTCCCATACACCCAAACGTTGCAAGATCAATTCCTTGTCAGGGCACACATGAGAGAAAACCAATAGATGTTTCTCTCTCACATCCATGTTTCTCTCTCTCTCTCTCCCCACCCCACCCCCCTCTCTAAAATTTATATACATATCCTTGGGTGAAGATTTAAAACAAAGACCCTGTAGGTATTTAGGGTTTTAAGGAAGTCAGCACGATACTTGGTCTTAGAGTTCCTGTCTCTGGACCAGTCCCTTCAGAGTCTCCCTCTCTCTTAGCCTCCACACCAACTGCCAGACGGCCAGCGTCTGTCTTGATGAGGTCAGAGTCTGTTTTGCTCACATTATGCTGCTGGCCCCCAACACAGGGCTCACATGGCATGGACACCCAGTAAATATTGGCTGGGTGCGTGAATTTTACTAACACTTGCAAGCGTATCAGCAGGGATTAGGCTCAGCAAGGAAAGTGTCAAGAACAAGGAAATGGAGCTGGGGTGATGCTGGGTGGGGACTTTGGTAGCTCAAGGCCAGAGTATTGGGGAATGGGAGGCAAACCTGAGGGTTCCAAAGTCATGCTTGGAACTGGGGAAGTTATTCTTGGGAGGGGACTTGAAGGCCCCAAGTTCTAGTTTCATGGACAGTAAAGTTCTTTTTTTTTTAATTTCTTTTTTAAAGATGTTATTTATTTATTTTTAGGCAGAGGGGAAGGGAGGGAGAAAGAGAGGGAAAGAAACATCAATGTGTGGTTGCCTCTCACATGCCCCTTACCAGGGACCTGGCCCGCAACCCAGGCCTGTGCCCTGACTGGGAATCGAATAGTGACCACTTTGTTGGCAAGCTGACATTCAATCGACTGAGCCACACCAGAGAGGGCTAAAGCTGTTTCTAGAAAGCTGTCCATAAACTCCAAATGTGCTTCCTGAGAGAGGAAGAGGAAAGAATCTGCCTGCTCATACTGTTTATGGGAGCCCCTCCTGTTCTAGGTAGTTTGGGGGATGTTGGCCTAAACCATGCCCCTCCCTGCAAAAGGATGGCCTTTTGGCAGCTGTATTTGTGCGATGCGTGACCTGTGCCCCTTGGCCACAGTTCATGGGACCAGGGACAGTTGCTGGCTACCTGGCCCAAGCCCGGAAGTTTTGAATTGAGTCTCTGAGGCAGCCGGCCCTCTCCCAATGGTTTCTGGAAGAGAGAGAACATAAACAGGAAGGTGAGGACACAGAGGGCCAGGAAAGGCTGCAAAAGGGGGAATGAAGCAAATTTCCAGGAAAAGTATGGGGAAGAAGCCATGCAGTCCCTGACAGGTGACTGAGAGGGTGCAGCTCCCACCCTTGAACCTGGCTGGTTGTTCTGCTTTGGGACTGTGAGAAACTCCTTTGTTGTTATAATATAATCTCTCTCTCTCTCTCTCTCTCTCTCTCTCTCTCACGCAAACACGCGCACACACGCACACGCACACTCCCTCCTTGCCAAGCCAGCTCAAATAGGATTCTGATACTCATAATAAAATTACCTTTTTAATCATAAGTACTCCTTATATGAAATTCTAGTGTATGATATTTTCTTCTGTGTACCTTCTTCAAAACTGGAGGGGTAAGACTTAAAAGAATGTTGAGTTACTGTAGTAAGAACAGTTAGAATAATAAAAGAGAGGGCAGAGCAAAGGCAGAGTAGGCAGAAAGGCAGGAGGGAAGGAAGGAAGGAAGGAAGAAAGGAAGGAAGGAAGGGGGGGGCAGGGAGCGGGGAGGGAATACGCCCTGGCCCAGGCCCAGGGAGGCAGCTGTGTCAGAGGGGTGGCAGAGCCCAGCAAGTGCGTCGCTGGCTTCCCGAAGTGCTCTTGGCTAGAATCAAGGCTGGAAGGTCTCTGTTGGGCAAGGGGAGACTTGGCCAAGGCTGGTTGAGAAACTCAAATAAGAGACCCTACAACCCTCCCCCGCCAAGCCCCCCCCCCACTCTGTTTCTCCGGGAGCCCCGTGGGAGGGGCATCCACCTCAGTGTGAAGTCAGGGAGGCCGCAGGGGAAAGCCCACGTTGACACTGTTCTCGCTGGAGCCCCCCCCAGGAGGCGATTCTGGCGTTCCCGGAGAACCAAAACAGTGCAAGGCAACTATTTGTAGCGTGTCCATTATTTCTAATTTATGACATATAAAGTGTCACCGATTGTATTCACTCCGCATATGGTCCTTATTGTTTTGTTTTAGTGAATATAAATGCAGTAAAGTAAATAAACTGTTATTTAAAATCAAAACAGAGAAGCTACTGCTTTTCCTGTCTAAGTCAAAAGGGGCCTGGGGGGCCTGGCTCCTGCAACTGAGTGTGGCACTGCCTTCTCCCTCTTGCAGACGTTGGTGGGGAGGGGGTGGGGGGGAAGGAACTGTCAAGGCCTCTTGGGGGCCTTCTAGGCTGCAGGGCTAGACTTAGGGGAGATGGTCTTAGCCAACACTGTGTGTGTCTTTAGCTGTGCAAAAATGAGCCCTGAGCCAAGGGGAGGGGCAAAGGGAAATGCAAGTGACTAAAAAGTGAGGGGAGTGACTGGGGACAGGGAGAGGACTCGAGAACAGCTGACCAGAAAACCACCTTTCTCTCCTCTACAGATCATCTTGGGGTGGCTTCAATCTTTAGTGATCCCAAGATTGTTCAATATCTAGCAAATAGAAGAAGGACTTACTAATTTTCACACCCTTGCCACTGGAAGGATCTCGTAAGGCCTTGGTACCAATCAGCCTAGCCAAACCAATATCCACTTGTAGAAGAAAAAGATTTGGGTTCCTTGCTCTTAGATTAGGTTAATATATGAAGTCTGTCTAGAAGGTGTGCAGCTGT